TTCAACATTTTAGGAAGCAATTTAAGCCCTCTCTAACTCGTCAATTTAAACCTTTCAGCTTCTCCACAAACACATAGCCCAACCGACTTTGGAAGTACATTGAATTCCACCAAGACTCAACTTTTGCTAAGAACTGCAGATGATCAAACCAAAGACTTTCAAACCTGAAAGGAGAAGAGCCTCCTTTGATGTTACCCGAAGACAAAAGAAGAGGAAAATAATATGAAGTGGTTTGAATAATCAAGCCTAACTCCACGTCTCTGAAGTGATCAACCCAACCATGTGGGACTATAGATCTGTTCATACGCATGCTTGAGAGGGCATCCTTAAAAGAATACCAAGTGAAGTTATCGCTTTTCATGGAAAAATAAAAAATCCTCAGTAAGAGTATTAAATTGTCACATGCTTATGGTAATATAACACCCTCTTAAATTTTCAACGATTCATCTGACAATATGAAAATCTCCTCCTATACACCAGTGATTCATACATAGGCCATAAAGGTCATAGTGCTCTTGTCAAACCATATCTCTAGCCTTCAGCATGGAAGGACCATACATGTCGATCATCCAACCCCTAAAACAATCAAAGCAGGCAATCTTAATGGAGATAGAGAAATAGCCCAAAAACAAATCCAATACCGTAATGTTTATGAGGTTCCACATAATAAGAATCCCTCCCAAAGTTCCCACATTCTCTAAGAGAGACCAGCCAATATGTCCCAAGCTCCAGAGACTTAATAATCTTCTTATCTAACTCCTCTAATTTGGTTTCGATTAGCCGATAACTATAAATACAAACATGAGCCAAGAAAGAGATCACCTACTGAATAATTTGATTTCAGAAGAAAGCTACAATAGTTACTTTTCACCTTGACTGCAGCCTCCAAGAAATCAACGAGGCAAGAATTTCAGTCGAAATAATCCAAGAAACCTCCAAAGGCACCCACAGCTTTAAATGTTTCCATGCTCTAGAGGTGCAAGGGATGTTTCTCAATTTAACCCAGCTCCCATAAGAAGGGACAACACTAATTCGACCATGAATGAGAGGATTCCAAAGATCCATCTTAGTTGTAATAGGCCCCAAAAGGACCCACCCTTTGTAACAAGAATAGAGCACACTCCATAGCAAGGCATTTAAAGAGGGCTTTGTCAAGTTGACATGGGTTGATAATGAAGAAGAATTTAGTCTATGCTTGGAGTGGTTCAAGAACCTTAACCCAGACATTGTGATAGTGTAATCCCTATGGTTTCTTCTCAATTCAAATGCCTTAACATCTGTTCTGCCTACTTTTGTTGTGAACTACAAGCATCCCATACATTCAATCTTTGATTTTTCCACGGTTTTTTTTCTTTTTCTTTTTACCATTTTTTAGAGCCTTTTTGAGAGGTATCGGGAGCCTTTTTCCTACCAATGGAGAAATCACGTGGTTTGTCTTCTTTTTCTTTTAAAAAGTCAGGAAAAAGCGTTTTGGAAGCTGTCCAACCTTTGAAGTCTTCAAAATGGATGACAATGTTTCTCTTGCCCCTTGAACTCTAAACTTTGGTTAACTAGACAAAGTTGTCACTTTTGTTCGTCATCTTTTGCAGCCAAATGAAGCCTCTATTGCACTCCATTTCCTAAATAACTTATGTGAACAATGAGTATAGAGCAAGTCTTCCAATGCATAAACTACCTAGAAAACAATGATTTCTTCAACGGTAACTTCGAAGGAATGTTTAATGTGTCTTTCCACAATCGTTATTTTTTTTTTGTCAAAAGAAACCAAAAAATGTATTCTCGATCTTCACTGCCTTCTTTTCCATTTTTATTGTTCCTGTTTATGAGAAAGTTGATTACGAACATGATTGCCCATCTATGGTAGATTGGAGTGGTGACGGGGGGACAAGGTTTTGCTTAGAGAGAGAGAATACTTCATCTCCCTAAAAGAAGCCAATCTACCCAGATTCTTGTATATATACCTCCATTTTTATTAAATTGTATATTTCTTACTTCAAAAGCTAATAAATAATTTAAACAAAAAACATTAAAAAAAATTAACTAAATGTAGAAATAGGGGCAGTATAGAACATATCAACACCATATTGTCAACACCCTAGACTAAGAATGAAACTTGTATAGGACAGACAAACATTATAGTTAAAAGTAAAAACTATCTAATTCATTGGATGAGAAAATACCAGAAGATGTAATAAATCATCAGTCACATCCAAGGCTCCAGCACAATCTGCCGATGCTACAAGCTGCACGAACAAAAGTATAAATCAATTGGTACTAGCTTCGACCATCACTACCAGATAAGAGTCCTATGGCTGATACCATACCCTTATGAAAAGTAAAGAGAAGTTACGTGGTATATGTTTTTTCTTTCGCTATCACCAAGTTTTGTTGAAGGTTTATTAAATAAAAAAATCAACATTGGTCTTCCAGAAAGAATGTAAAGTAATCCAACTGAGGAAACAAAAACTTAAGTTTCATCAAGACTCCATCCGCCCAATACTTCAGGAAAGACTCCTATTTCTATTTAATCAAACCTCCCACAAAATACCTCTAATGGCATTGACCATAAAATTTTGGGTTTCTTTGAGAAGTTATGACAACAGTAGAACCCAAAATAAGGTGTATGGTCTCTCTCAGGGGTAATACAACCTGATTCCATGCCAAAACGGAACTAAAGGAAAAGGTGATCTGTCCATTCTAAATTTCTTCTACACACGACACACTAACTTGGAGAAAGACGAGCAAGAATTCTTCAGTTGAATTTTATCCAGCATGCTAAGACATCTTGACAGAAGAACCATACAAGCTTTATTTTCTTAGGATAGCGATGTATCTGGATTTCCTTGTTGATCTCAAGTCTGTGTCTAAAAACTATTGCGTAAGTCCTGAATACATTAGCTTCCCGCATCATTCTAGAAGTATTGGCAAATTTTCATTGTTTTTTAATTACTAACAGCTTCAAGATCAAACATGGTCATAGGATTGTGCAATAAAAGGTCCAATTATAAGGTTTCAAGCCTTCGGACAACAGTTGTTATTTGCTATGACCAAATGCATCGACCACAACAAGTACACGAGTTAAGGACTTGCGAATAAAAGGCACTTCCCAGAAAGCACAAAAAAACCATAGCAAGTAAATTGAACCATAAGTATGATGAAATGGACTGATTAAGGTACCATTTCAAAGCTAAAATGGACTGATTGAAGTACCAAATTAAGAGCTAAAGTGGACTAATTAAAGTACCAATTTAAGAGCTGAAATGGCCTGATTAACGTATAAAATGAGCTTCAATTTCTGCTGAAGAGCCAACAAATTGTTCCTGGTCGCATTCTGCTCCTGAATTTGCCTGGCAGAGTCCACTAAATCAACATCCAAGAGCCGTATGGTCTCCTTTAATTGCCGTAGCCGGCTACATCCCTCCACAATCTTCACATTTAAGTCTTGTAGCTGCCCCTGAGCCTCGAAGAAAGAATTGGAACGCAGTGAAATTTCCTTGACCAAATGCAACTCCACGACATCTAAATAATGCGAAAGCTTCTCTTGCAGCACTAAATTCTGCGATACATTCAAGAAGGGGCACGCTGCACGGAATGTCGCCCCGTCCTCCAATGCGAAATCTTCCTTAAAGTAAAGCGCCGGAACCTCTCTCAAACATGCCACAAGGGCTTCCCCCTGGCCCCCAATGCTATCCAAGCCACCGTTCTCTTTGCTGGAATGGTTTCGTATGTCCTCGAATCGGTTATAAGAATCGGAGATCAAGGCCGTGTAGTTGTTAAAATCGAATCGAGTAACTTCCGATGAGGCTGTGGAGGATGTGAGGGGAATAAACTCAGGTGGGGTGACGGTGGAGGAAGAGGACCACCAGCCAACCCAGGACGCATCGGACTTGCCAGCGTGAGGGTTGTTGAGAATTGAAGACAAGCTCTGGCTGCTGGCATCGGGGTTGGATTTAGGCGAGGAGGATGAAGTAGTTCGACCAAGAGTCGTTTCTCTACTGAGAAGGCTGGAATATTCGGTCGGGGACCTTCCCGATTGGGAAGGCTGGGAGTCCATGCTCAAAGTCTTAGAATCATGAACTAATGGCGGGTTCCAAAGATGGCATTCAGTAGATGAATTCCAATCGCGAGAGAGATCGAGATGATGAAGTGCTTCGGATGGATCTCAATCACCAGATGGGAAAGGAATGATGAAGAAAACAGAGGTTGTGGACGCCGCTGGATGAAGGAAAGAGAGAGAAAATAAGAGTTGGCAATGCAAGTCCGGTGCCGCGGTAGATCTCGTTCAAGAATTCCGTGCGCGCCTCGCCTCTCGCCTCTCGCCTCTCGCCTCTATGAAGTGGAATCCACCTCCACCTCCGCCTCCGCCGATTCCACACCGTTGATTACACAATTACACATTATTATTTAATTGATTGTTATTTTCTTTACTCTCTTCCAATATAACAATTTTCCAATATAACAATTTTCCAATTTTCCAATTTTCCAATTTTCCAATTGCCCAACCCAACAGCTACGCAAACCAGATTGTTACTCTAATGCCCTGAAATTAATAGTTCAATTGATGAATGAATTTCGTTCAATATTATTTTTTTTTATATTTATTTGTCATTTTCTTAAGTGAGTGTCACATGGAGCGGAAAAGGAAAATCATTTCTATAAACCAAACCAAACCAAACCAAACGTTACAGCCATTATCTCATGTGCTCAACCTCTAAACTTCCCCTTATCAGATTTAACTAAAAGCTAGAATTTCACCTTTTAGTTTAATAATATTTCATAAATCATCGCACTTGATAATTTCATTAAACCAATTCTAACAATTTTACTTGTAGGTAGGAAAGAGATTACAAAAATATTTTAATCTCAATGGGTCAGAAGAGTACATCTCTTTTTTTCTCTTATTTTGTTTTGTTTTAAAGTGAATCTAGCTATTAAAATTATCAAGCAATGGTTTACTAGTAGAAACACAAGGATTGAAGTCCGTTTATGAACCCTTCAAACACATCCCAGAATCTAAGCCACGCTCTATCTCATAAATAAACTCTATCCAAGAAGATATGATATGATATAATCACTTGATCTACACAATCCTAACCCTGAACAATTAAGAATCAGGGTTAGAAGAATAAGATGCTAGAATAATTGATTGTAATGAAAAAGGATCTGTACAACTAATAAGCTGCATCTTCATTGCAACCGTCATGGTTGAACTTTGTTGGCAGATTGTAGACCTGATTGAAGCCTGCTTTGAAAATGTGCTTCTAGCCTGCAAATAACTTGGGTAAGCCAACATGAGGTACACAAACACAAAGCTAACATGAGGTAATCGTACCTTGTTGCACATTTATAGTAAATAGTCTCGGGAGCATTGTATGTGCGCGCATTACCAAACATTCTTCTCACATCTGCGACAAACATCTCGAAAGTAACGTAATATTGTTCTGACTCCACCCTTTTAGCCATCGTTTTTAGATCTACAGCATCATGGTCAAATAATGAGATTTTTTTGAATGTCATCAGAAGTTACAAATTGACCTATCACATAATAACACGACTACAAGGGATCCAAAGAATGCAGCAAAGATCCAGGAGACGAATTTGCTAAGTTGGGAGTTCTTACCCACTGGATCCTTAATGATTTCATAATAATCAGGTACGTCACGAGAATCCACCGGTTCCTTGAATGGCCAAGCGTCAACATGGTCATGCATTGACTGGTATGGTGGAAAATAGCAGTAAGAATAAATTAACAGATACAAGTACAACGCAGCAAATAGAAGAAACTAGTACATAAATATGGAAATGCAATGTAAACTTGAACGAGAAACTAGCCTTGAGAAGTGAGCGCATGAACGCAGTCAAATGCTTTTGATTTGAGATCCCGTCAGCAGAGTTTAAGGCTCTGTAACGTGAGAAGCCCCATTGATCAGGCGTCCATCCAGCCTCCTCTATTATCAAAAGTAGCATGCCATCAAAATTTTTCTCAAGTGACGAACCTTTTTGGTAGCGAGGGTAGTAAAAAATCTACACCATTCCAAAACGTTGAGAGAAAGAAACCTTAAGGATAAAGCAAGTGGTTTTCTGGTGTTAGAGAATGAAAAACTAAAATGGTTTTCTGGTGTTAGGAATAGTTTCTAAAGTACTTTTGTTGCAGGAGAACCAAGCCAAAGAAGTGAATGATAACCACAACCAAACTCAAAGACCAAAGGTAGAATCTTACTCAAACCCGGGATTTCCTCAACTTTGACGGATCTTTTGGGAGCTCCTGGCTCCTTCTGAACAACCAAGACTTGATTAGACTCAATACAGAAATAGGAATTCATCACTCAATAAAATTAGGAAAAAGAAAAGTTTAAGAGGAAACTTTGACTTTGTGATTAGGAGAGGAAAATGGAATCTTAATTATCACAACATGAGAAAAATTCAAAAGTGAGTTTTAATAAAAAGGAAAATAGACAAAAGGTTTACATATTCCAGTGGAACAGCCTATCTCTTTGCCAAGGGGAAACTACAACTAGAAGGACAAAAGGAAGGTAATAAAAGACTGACGTTGACAATCATACCTTTTGTAAATCAAGTCCAGGATAAACAATGTGGCAGTTCGAAAGCTCTCTTATCTTCTCATCAATTGCCTACATTAAACAAGAGAGAAGAATTCAAAAATATATATACACTACAACCCAACCATTAAAAGAATTGGTCAAATCGATAGTGCTAAGTGGCTAACATTTCAATGTTCCACCTCTGCCCAGATTCTTCTAGTTCAAGCCAATCACAAGCATTCTTATAAAACTTCTTCTGATTAGTAATTATCTAAGTTTAAGTTCGACAAAAAATTTCTTTTAAATAATATTACCAAGTAACTCTTAACAAAAATTTTTTAGGTAGTTTGTCTTTGGTGCACTCCCAGATTTGAGTTGAGTTGTTTCCATGTCTTTGAAACGACTGTTTATTAACGGAATAAACAAAAGAGGAATGGAGTCAACTCAGCTCAACCCATTTGAGGGTTGGATTCACTAGAGACCATAAAGATCAAAGACCAACTGGCATTGAGATGGTGGTGGTACAAATTGGTAGTGAGACGGACAACCCACAACTTCATTTTGTAAGAGTGGGTGAAGAAGAATGAAAAATTCTTTTGAGTACCACAGGATATGTGAGTCATAAAGGAGACCATCAAATCGGTTAAGGGTACTGAACTTTGTGAAGGCGTGGTGCTCACCCTACCAAATGTCACAGTGGTAGAGGATTTTTTCCACTACTATTGGCAAGTTCAGATGTAACTTTGTGAACGTAGTTGCATGGAAATAAAATTTTAACCGAACTACATGTTAACCCTTGAAAGAAAAATCCAGCTAAAAGAACTAAAGCTTCATCCATTTTTCAGATTTCAATCATCTATAGCTGCATGAACGTGAAATTTTATTAAAACTAAACATTTGAATATGCAATGATCAAGACATCTTGCCTGCCTCTGACGGCGAATCATTGTAGACAAATCAGTGTATGGAAGTTTTGGATCGATTTTGCATTCCATAAGAATTCCTCCATCATAGTCTTTAATGTACCTGAAAAGAATAAGTAGTTAAAAAAAAATTCGATTGACCTAGCTTTGTAAGAGAGAACTTAGAAATCAAAATTATTACTGTGTTTTATTGTTAGCCTTGACTTTTGGGTACATTTGAAACTGATATTTAATTGCACTATTTAGTCATACATGGGTATTTTTATTTTTTTTATGTCAATAAAGACAAAAAAAAAAAAAAAAAAAAAAAAAAAAAAAAAAAAAAAAAAAAAAAAAAAAAAAAAAAAAAAA